CAACCCTTCAACCTATCTCTTCAGTATTCTGTTTATAAACCTGTTATGTCTTTTAATATGATAGCAATTTTTCACTTTTCTCTCCTTTTATTTCTCTTCATAAATTTTATTTTCATTTTGTGTCTTTTGAGAACCTAATTGTTGTGCTCGCCCCCCCCCCTTTTCCTCCTCCTCGCCCGCCTCCCCCCCCCCCCCAACTTTTTTTTTTTTATACGACTAATTTTTTTTTATTTCCACACCTTCAGGGAATCGATACGAATTTTTAATTTTCCGTTGTTAGGGAACGCCCCTTAATAACGACAGCTATTTTTTTTTTTTTTTTTACAATTAAATTATCAATTAAGAGCATCGTAGTTTCACTGATATACAAAGCCGTAACCATGTCCACTTATCACACGAAGACATTATGTGGTGCGTGTTACAATACTGATAATCACAGTAATAAGTTAGGGTGATTGTTATTTTCAGTAAAGAATTACAAATTTTGTTTCAATATTTATCTGCTCACCGGATTCCACATTTTACATAATTTCACCTAATCGATGGAGTAATTAGCAAAGTAAATTGCCAGGGCAAAAACGGGGGAAGAATTTATTGCCGTCATTGATTGCATGCTATGTTCATACTTTAGGAATTATGTTTGGCTTAAAAATAAAGGAAGGAACACACGCTTCAGGGAGTTTAAAGGAGATTAAAACATGTCGGTTTTAAGCGCTTGGTATATGATGTAGCCACATCACTACCAGGTGGGAGTTGTCTATAAAAAATAGGTCTAGCCCTATATGCACAATAGGCCTAAAGGCGTAGAAAAGGGTAATTTACTTTTACTTTAATCTGATCTTCTTCTTCTTCTTTAGCATTACGAGCCCTTGAGGTTCATTGCTGCAGATATCACCGGCCTCCATTCATTTTTCTGGTTGGCCTTCTCTTTCCAATTGGAGACATCAAGTGTTTGCAGGTCTGTCTGGATAGTATCTCTCCATCTTCTTCTTGGTCTGCCTCGTGATTAAAAAAAAAATTAGCACAAGAAAGAGAACATATTGACTGCCACTGAGTGTATTATTTGAGTTATGATTTGGGTTATCTTTACGGCACTCCGGACACGTCCATGGGTGCTCAGATTCCCCCTTCAACATCAGAGTCCGGTGGTTAATACTCCCAGTACTGCAGTTTAATATTTATCATTCTCAGGTATCATTTCAGGTGACTGCTTAAAATTCTATAAGGGTATATTTGAATAGACTTATCTGAGAAGGTTTGTAGTCGATGTAACTACCCAAGAGAGCAGTTTGGAGTGCTGTATCGTTAGAAGTATGTGCTTTCTATACAAATTATCTTCTGGAGTTCAAACCACTTACTTCTGAATCAAAGGCAGACATTGCATCCTTTCAACCACAATTTATCGGATGTGTATCCTTTCCATTTCTTTTTTTCTTTATTTTTTCTTCCTCTTGCAACCCCCCCCCCCCTCCCCCAACTGATTATCATTAGACAAGCATATGTAGTTCCTGACTGTTGATAGATTATGGCTACAGTTTTAGTGTTAAAGTTAACGTTGAGACGATCGACTTTATTCCAGCGTTGATCTATTATTGCTCTGTCTCACTCCACAGACCAGCCAGCCCCTTTGCCGAGATCGTCCCACAAAACACAAGTTCCCCTGAAAATGATAGAGCCGACAGACTGGCCGAGTCTGCAGTGGTTAGCGAAGGAAGAAGTATGGACAGGGCAGGCGTATTTCATGCCCCGTGTTCCAGAGACCTCGAGACAAGTCAGTCAGAGACGATGAACCACAGGTTGGAAATGGTTATCAGACGATGATAAGCGTGCAGAAACTGGGTGTGGGACACAGATAGAAGACAGGCCAATCAACTCATACTGGATACGACGAGCATGTAGACAATGAGATCGCTGCTGCATCAGAGGACTGAGCACGAATTCTTTGGACTGATGTGCTAGGATCTTGATATAGATAAGTTACAAATAATAAAATCCTCAGAATCTCCGTAGAAAATACACTTTTTTTTTTAAAAACTGAATGTCTCCATCTGGAATGACCCTTGACCTTTAGAGTACAAGAAAATGGCTTTACTATTTCGTACTGGTGTCTACATGTTAAAGCTCTGTTTTAAAAAAAAATGTAAAGTCGGGAGATGTAAACCAGCGTCATTGCACACGGTTATAAACCTTAAGTGCTCTGCCACCAGTACGGACAGCTGATACGAAACTGTCCGCTTGTGTCGCTGTCCGTACGAAACTCCGTAGCTACAGGGACGTTCCTCCATTTACCCCAGAATGTTAACTCTTTTACCCATTTCCTAGAGACTGGATGAACCCCGGGAACCCCCCGGTTTCGAACACCGGACGTGGGCTGCAGCAAATCGCAGCTGGATTTGTAAGCGAGTCTCCTATTGACTGCGCTAACGAGGCTCTGAGGTAGAGGTTTTAACATTACTGCAGACGGCTTCCTCTATAGCTGCTCCGTTCCTGTGGTAGCCAAAATCACACAAAATGTTACTCAACACACCATTTGATAACTACTGAAAAACACTGCACAGTCCCAGCAACATCTCGAAGCTTGCACCCGCAAAGTAAAATTGCAGAAGGCAGCTGTCAAATGTGAAAACAGTAACGGACCCACACCAGAACTGCCGCCCACCTTTGGCTCAAACAGTCAGTCTCGTGATCGGCCAGCAGCCATTTTAATCAGATTTGACTTATTGACAAACACGATCTCACACAGATATGTCTTGAATTCCGAGGATCTTCAGGCTTTGATCCTACACCTTCAGACTGTTTATAGAAGATATCTTCTTCTTTTATTTCTTGTCCGTTTCTGTCTTTCAACGTCAGATTTTGAAGAGTCCTCGGATGCGAATCCTGGTATGTGCTACTTAGACGCTGGTATCCATATTTTCTGCATTCGCAGCACGCTCAGCGGGCAGGAGAGTCAAAGAAGCCAAAGGCGCCTTCTCCATGACAACAAGCAGCATGACGATGGAGGTGACGCAAGCGTTCGCCTGGCTCGAAACACAAAAATACACCCGCGTATGTATACTCAGTATTCAATGAGTATTATCTGGAGGGTTCAGGCAGGTTCAGTGCGAAGACAATGGCTTGAATCATTACAGAAGTCCACTGTCCGTGGAGTCACCTTTATTTTTGTTCCGGGACACGCAGGCGTCGATGGAAATGAAAGAGCTGACAGGTTGACTGGATCCGATATCACTACCGACGGTCAGCATATGGATCATGCTGATATTATTAATGCCCTCAGAGAAACGGGAAAGATAGAGGACTTTGGGGGCAATGAATCCACATCACTCGCCAGAATGGCAGACTTGGGAAGATCGAGTGCAAGAGACAGGGCTTGTTGGAGATCCATTGCAGCCAACCTTGATTGTGGAGACGGCACCTGATTGATTGATAGCAAAAGACGAGACGCAAACCAGACACACCAGAAGACTTGTTAATCAACATAGAACTGGTACTATTAGCCATCGGACATTGGGGTTCATACTTAGGGGATGATCTGAGCACCTATGGACATGTCCGGACTGCAATGATGATAACCCAACTAACTAGTTAACTAACTAATCCATATTCCCTGATATTGCTCATTTCTGATCTTGTCTCTTATAGTTGCAGTATTCATCGAGCATTTCATTTCTGTTGTTTAATCATTTTTCCTCATCAAAGATGTCATCTTTAACATCATGTTGCCAGTTTTTCACACACACACACACACACACACACACACTTACACACACATACACACACACACTGCTGTAATGCTTTTCGGATTTAGGCCATTTAAAACGCTTTTATAGACGAATAATAAGAGTACCCGGAACAGACTTTATCACACACACACACAAGTAATAATGAAGATGCCTTGAAAGAAACGAATTCACTAAGAGACCTGACTGCCTACATCAGAATGAGACGATGTACATTCTTGGGTCATGTGATGAGAAGGAGAAAACTGAAGTACATCGTAACGGTTCGAAAGTTGGACGGAAAAAGGTCCAAGTTAGACCGAGAGAAAAGATACTGGTGGCATGGAAGATCATCTGTGTCAGACAGGATTCAAAGCACACGAGTCTTCAGGCGGTGGGTGACCTGACAACCGACCGACACGGCGTGGCCTGTAAGAAGAGGAATAAAACAAAGCACTCATATTTGATTCACATCAATGACAACGCGTCTATGGTCCTCGATGTTCCCCAAAAACATGTCTTGCAATATAGTTCCCTTCGTGCAGATGTGCAGTCTCTAATGAGAGTAGCTATGACAAACCCGAAGCACATGGTCTGTCAGTTTTGAGCCACTTGTAGCAGACTGTAGCATCATCTGTCTGGGCACAAATTCCATTTCACAGCATTCAGGTCAAGATTCGTGTCCTTCCCCGACAGCAAGCGAAGAGTCCTCATACCGATGGCACTCGTTGTCGTCTTGTCAACTACTTATTTCTCCGTTCCCCGAGTCTCAAGTGGCGACAGAGCCCACATTCACTCCTTGCTTCATCATTCTATCCCAGTATAAACATTGAGTATCTTCCATTTTATTTGTACCTCCACCCATAGGCGAGAGATAACCTCTGCTTTGTGCAGATGCAGTCCTCTTTCTCTAACCAATGGTCTTTTTTAACCAACCTATCCGCTTGCTCATTCCCCAAAACACCTACATTACCCGGGCAAAATATATATATCACTCTCACCACCTGAGATCTCTGGAGTGACGTAACCCACTCCATACGGGAAAACACCTGGCAAATTAAATTGCACCTTAATGTCTCCAAAATTTCCGGTAGCGTGGAAACGAATTTACCACACGCTGACATCTCTACTGTGTGAAGCACTAATATGAACATGTTGTTTCCATTTCAGTAACTCACATTCGTACTTCATCTGTCAGTGTCGGCTATCTAAACAGGAACATCCGCTTGAAGGTGGAAGTCAGCGAGCTAAATGAATAACAATTTCCTTGATTTAATTCACATGGCAACCGCGGAGTGGAAGCACAATTGGACATCCACAACGCACTCACGATCTCCTGCTGTAGCTACATCTGAAGGGCAGAATGTTGAGTTGATTTTACAAGCTTTAGGAGAATCCGCAAAAAGGGGACTTCATAGTATGGTGGACGTCCCCCAGAAAACATATGCAGACGACCTTCACTTTGCTATGAGTGCAGTCATTGGTCCAGTTGTCTGTCTGTTTGGTATGCTAGGCAATCTTCTGTCCGTCATAACTTGGCAACGACCAAAAATGAGCAGTTCTACCGGAACGTACCTAACAGGACAGGTGAGTTAAATAAATGTTATACATAGTCGTTTTGGTAGTAGTGGTGGTAGTAGTACTACTACTAACACTAGTATCAGGGACAGATATAAAACCGAACGAAAAGTATATCAGCGAGCTTCACATTATACCAAACACAAACACAACATGAACGTTGCGGCTATGGAACCTTCATCCACTCATACATAAATTAGACAATATTACACAAAAACACAATATCACTTTTCTTCGTATCTCGAGCCAGTCAGGTAGATGTCTAGCCAATCGTCTGGCGAGGCACATGGAAATGTGAGAATACATTTCCCTGGAAATGCCGGGGGCCCTCACTCGACGATAAGATAAACATATGTAGACAGTTCAGTCCCCTAGGATTTAGATGAAGCTGTGTTGGCAGCTTAGTCCACTGGGCGCTAGAGTTCCCAAAGTGTATATAAAGCGATTTTTAAGAGACTTGCAAACTCTGTCGCTGGAGTGGCTAGATTTAATGGCTGTCACCTCCTTGTCGTGGACACCTTGTGGTCCTGGGAATTGAAATGCAATGGTACTGGTTTCAGGGCGCCGTTCTGCACGTCCAAAAGATGTTGTCTAAACCTGCCAGCCAGTCGTAAACCCGTGTCAGCGTTGTATTTAACATCTTGCAGTTGATGCGGTAAATTTAGATTACGACTCGTGCAATGGAAGGCTTCACGTATGTAGAAGGTGGCATTCGGGAATTCTAGGCTGGTATCCTAAAACAAATATGGAAAGGTCCTGCATACAGGTTTTTGGCAAAGACCGTCCCGAAGTGGGACTCAGAGCAGGACGTAACCGACTCTTGACTAGAATGTCCTTAAAGTTACAGTCATGCCTGTTGGCCACTATAGGAAGTTCAGAGAAAATCTTGCTGGTTGTAGGGTCAGCCCTAAGGATGAAGAGATGATTGACAATATTTTTAGCATGGATGTTGTGAGGTAGGTTTGTGGTAGCTAAGTATGAGAAAGGGTCTGTTGTGTCGACGTTTAGGCTTGGACAAGAGAACCTCGGCACGATGGATAGACCGTGTTCGGTGAGAGGCAGCAGATGAGACATGTTCGGAATACCCTCAGAGCCGAAAGAAGTCCAACATTTCTAGAGCCTTGTGGTGAAAGTCGTCGTTCTCCTAGCATAGTCTGCGGAGGCGTAGAAGCTGGGAGAACGGAATGGAGTCCTTGCAGGAAGAGGGATGAGAGCACATGTAAAGAAGAAGAGCATGGGAAAGTACTACCACTAGTACTAATAGTAATAGAAGTAGTTTTAATTGTGGCTGTACTACTGCTACTAACACTACGTATTCTACGAATACTAGTATTCGTACTAGTCGTAGCAGTAATAGTAGTAATAGTAGCAGTAGTAATATTAGCATGGCAAACTAAAGATCATGAATTTGCCTAGAAAAACCACACAACAGCCAGGAGCTGTTGGGGTTGGTTCTGCAACGTCCTGTAAAGGATACGCAACTAACCTAGTAATATTAGTAGTAGAAGTAGTTACAGTAGTAATAGTAGTAGTAATAGTAGTAGTAGTAGTAGTACTAGTAGTAGTAGTAGTAGTAGTAGTAGTAGTAGTAGTAGTAGTAGTAGTAGTAGTAGTAGTAGTAGTAGTAGTAGTAGTAGTAGTAGTAGTAGTAGTAGTAGATTAGTTTTTATTCGGGTTCTAGCATCACTGCTCCGTTCATGTTGCAAGGGAGACAACATACTATGTCTTTACTGTCCTTTTGAAAACTAGTAAAGAACTTATCAGTTTCCGCAAAATCATGCACAGGCAAAGAAAACACGAGCAAGGCAACTATCAGGTGCGCAAGCATTAGAGGCTCCACATAACAACTGTAGCTAACTGTTGGCGCAAAGAATAAATCATAAAAGCCCGCTATGCACACGGAAAAGTCCGTGTTATCCTTTTCAGTACCAACTCGCAGCGGGCACAACAGAAAATATTCCACATGACACCCGTAGCTCACAGTGTCTTATCAAGCACTCAACCCAGTAGCTGTGAGACTGAATCTTTTAACTCTGGTCTCAAATTTGCATTAACAAAGGCAGCGGTCAGCCGGTTATCAGCCATTTTGGCTGGAAGCCCAGTAATAGTAGTAGCTGTAGTAAATGAAGATGGTAATACAATGAACCATACAAAATGTAATGATTATTACTTTTTAAATTCATTTTGTATCCACACAGGGAGTGGCGAACTTCTTCCTTCTCCTGCTGTTTCTACTGTGTGACTCGCTGCAGTATTGGTCCCCTGAGCTTAAGCACTCCTTCATCTATGGTGCCTTCTTCGCCTACTTCGGCTTCCCCATGTTTTTCCTGACCATTATGTTAAGCATCTGGTTCACAGTGGCTCTCACAGTGGACAGATACATCATGGTTTGTTGGGTCACCAAGGCCAAAGTAAGTTTCGACCACGTCTACAGGTTTTATGTTTGTCTTGTATATCTTCGCATGAAATAGTACATATTTGTTGATATTACGCCAAGGCCAAAGTAAGTTTCATCCACGTCTACAGGTTTTATGTTTGTCTTCACATAAAACAGTACATATTCGTTGACAGTACGCCAGATTCTCTTAGTGTGATAAAAAGCTAAGGAACGCAAACGAGTGAATCCTGCGGCAAAACATTTTAAAAATTCGGAATACAACTAAACATAGAACAGTAACGCATACAGTCACTAAACTGATGTATCTCAGATATAAATCACATGTCTGGCTGACCAGTAGGATGTCGGCACGTGTGGAGCTAGATTAGTTGCGTATCCTTTACAAGACTTTGCAGAACCAACCTCAACAGCCCCTGGCTGTTGTGTGGTTTTTCTAGGCAAATTTACGTCCAGTAGTTTGCCATTGCTTCCTGGACGGTCGGCATTCTTGATACCACTGTCGAAACCAACGCAAGGCGTATGGCCCGCAGCAAGGATTGAACCCGGCATCCCGGCATTATGAAGCGTTCGCATCGACTTAGCCACAGAGCCAACACGTGTGGGGCTACCAGAAATAAATATTGGTCAGAAAAGCGACGAGGGTCGTAACTAAAAAATGTTTGTTAAAACTGTGTTGGCTGTTAAGTCCCCTTGGTGATTTTCACACTTTTAGAGCTATGTTTTGCCTCTTTACAATATGTGAACTGCAGCTACAAGTATCTCAGAAAATGAAACAGTTTTCATTTGCCACTAATTGTTTATCTAATGCGAGGTACTTTTCAGAAACTGGAACAAGAATCGCATGACAAAACGACGCATTTAGTATCGATGTATGTTAGACGTGGGCTTCTTCTTCTTCTTCGATCTTTCTGACAAAAAACGTATCAAAAGATCGTTAGCCTTTATGAAAGCTATCGTGCAGTTCAAATTGCCCTGTGTACCATACAGTTTTTGTCTTCATTGTGGTTGGAACAGGCCAGATTGTTCCTCTTTTGCCAGCAAACTGTCAGCTTGTTGTTAGCTCCAGTTGATAGTGCTGGAGCACATGCTCAGCATTTTCGGGTGCCACCCTGCAGGGAGGGACACGTCTCCGTGTTTCCTACACCAACAAATTTGAACATATGTTGGCGGAGTATGTTGACCCTGTCCTTAGTCTGAATATAACATATGTTTTTCTCTAGAGAGGCGAGGACGCAAGTCTTGAAGAAAAAAATTGGGTGTGCGTGTACCCATTCAATCTTTCTTGGATAATTGATTGTATTAATGGCTTGATCTCTTTGTGGGTCAAGACACTATTTGATTGTATCATGTCAGTGCCGCTTTTGGACAAAATGTCCGCATTTACACTATCTTCCAAACCACAATAAAAATGAACTCTCTGGTGCTGTGTAAACAGAAAGAACACGATATAAATACGAAGTTACCTGGATACTCACACGGTTAACTGTGAATCTCCAGCAAAACGATGCACAGTGTGACTTCACAATGTGATCTGTGAAATTCAGTGAAAACAATTAATTTTTCTTCTTTTCCCCAATAAACACATGCGAATGTTAATGTAACTGTAAATATGCACCTTACGATGTGTAACGAAATATTCTAGGCAATAAATTGTTCAATGATAATATCTAGATGCCCTAATATTTCTGCATCAGAGTCTCTGCAATGAGTCTAGGGCAAACGTCGGCCTCATCCTCATCTCAGTCAACAGCTTTATGATCAACATCCCTCACTTCGCCTCGTTTACCCCCATCTACCAAGACGAGGACAACAACAATACCCACAACTACATCAACAACAACAACAACACTAACGACAGGCAGCCGAAAGTGGCTTATACTGAGACAGAATTTGGAATGAGTGCAGGAGGAATGTTCTACGAGTTCTGGATTCACTGTATGGTGCTGACGGTGATTCCTTGGATGTCCGTGTTGTATATGAATGTTATGATCATCGTTAAGGTAGGTGTCTGTAACATATATACCGACTGAGAGAGAGAGAGAGAGAGAGAGAGAGAGAGAGAGAGAGAGAGAGAGAGAGAGAGAGAGAGAGAGAGAACAGTTCCTTGGATGCCCGTGTTGTATATGAATGTTATGATCATCATTAAGGTAGGTGTCTGTAACATATATGCCGACTGAGAGAAAGAGAGAGAGAGAGAGAGAGAGAGAGAGAGAGAGAGAGAGAGAGAGAGGCATACAACGAAATAAAGAAGGAGAGAAAAAAGACAAAGTCAGACAGAGCAACAGATAAAGATAGAGAGACTGAGAGTCAGAGAGACAAAGAGACAGAGAGAGTGAAAGAGAGAGAGACTGAGAGATAGACGGGAGACAGAGAGGAAGACGGACATATAGATGGACACAGAGACAGACAGAGAGACAGACAAAGAGACGCATACAAACATAGAGACACAGAGAGAGAGAGAGAGACAGAGAGAGAGAGAGAGAGAGAGAGAGAGAGAGAGAGACATACTAACAGTGAGATAAAATAGAGTAAGATAGAGAAACAGACAGACTGATAGAGGGACAGTGTAGGAAAGAGAGAGAAATAGACATTGAGACATATAAAGGGACTGACAAAGACATACATAGAGACTTAAATAGACACGCAGACAAATAAAAAAATAGACATATAATCGGAGCGACGGGTAGGCAGACATGTAATCCGGCAGGCATATAGACAGACAGACATACAGACAGGCAGGCAGGCAGACGGACAGACAGACAGATTAACAGATAGACAGACATATTATTTGGAGATAGAATGAAAAATTGATTGATTTATTGACTGACTGCTACAATCAGATCAATGAAGCCAACACAAGAATGGCGGACAAGAAGACCAGCCAATCGCTGATGAAATCCAAGAAGTCAGAAAACCAGATCACCCGTCTGCTCCTGGCTGTGACCTTCACCTTCCTCTTCTTCCTTGGCTTCAACTGCATCACCCACTGTCTATGGACGAAGAAGCTGCCTGGGGTTAGTATGCATGGGCGCTGGAGCCTGTGTGGGCAGGGGATGGAAGGTGGTCAGGCTCCATGAGCTCCACCCAGCGCCGGATTTAGATCTGATGAGGCCCTAAATAATATAATGCCCAGAAGCCCCTACAATTTTAATGGTTTTTCTTCTAGAAGCTTCTCGTCAGGGTATTACTACAGAGTTTCCATTAACATGTAATGAAGAAGCTGAAGCAGTATCAATTAAAATTAATTCTTTAGTGTTCTTTCTCCTTACACAATACTGGATAGTTCATGTTTATTGAAACGGCTTGAGCTTCTTCATTTTATGCGAACGGAAACTGTCGTAATGCACCTGAAGAGATGCTTCTACAAGAAAATCCACATTACTGCCGCGAGTTAAGTATTATTTTTATTATTATTTTTATTACTTTTTTTTCACATTGTCTGCTTATGACCGTTGCCAATTCCCAAAAGAGTTTTTCTCGGCGAAATCAATAGCACGCACACGCATAACTGTTGTCGTTGTTGTTGCTTATTTATTGATTGTTTACAACACGACCCAGCCACATTGCACTTTAGGCTGAACAGGGTATCTAGGATCTGCCTTGTTGGTGTACTGCCCAGAAAAAAAATGCTCTATGCTCGAAATGGTGTGGTCAACTTTTCGGTCCAGCTTCTAGAGAAGACGCTGATCGATGACAGGTGACTTGGTAAAAAGTGCCCTAATAAAAGGGGCGTTCTGTGATTTGTGCCAATTTGATTTTCATCGAAGAGATGTTAATGGCGAATCTCTGACACCAACACGATTGAGTGACACTGGAATAAAGTATGGTAAAGCGCGTCTATGCCGCCCTCGAAGCCGAGATAGGAGACATTATAACGAGCTTCTCATGGGATAAATCAGTAGACGTATCTTGGAGTTGCTGCTGCATTGGAGGATTCAGCAGTTATGTGTGAGCAGTTACGTCGACTGTGTTAACATAACCCCATCCAAGAGACATAAATTCTATAAAATACAATCCTGGAAAGTAAGTGAGGGGATTTGAATAAGCTCAAGGGCACTCATTCATGTGTTCGACATAACCTGGCTAGAATAACTGTACAGTGTTGATGATGCTGTCGATCTTCTTCTTCTTCTTCTTCTTCTTCTTCTTCTTCTTCTTCTTCTTCTTCTTCTTCTTCTTCTTCTTCTTCTTCTTCTTCTTCTTCTTCTTCTTCTTCTTCTTCTTCTTCTTCTTCTTCTTCTTCTTCTTCTTCTTCAAGTCCATGCCGTGTAGTTCTGTCTATTCTCAACCTTTTTCGAGCATCTTTTCACTCGGTCTCCCTTTGCCTCTCTTCTGGCTCTCCTACCGTCACGATGTATTCCAGTTTTCTTCTTCTCATCCAGGACCAAAGAACATAGATTGTCTTCTTCTGATGTGGGCAATCAGTTCCCTTATCATTTCTTAGTCAACAACATATAATATACAATCAGACGGTTACTGGTACCTTCTGAACTGGAACTCTTCTCTTGCTGCTGAAGATGGGGGATGAAGCATCTATGGGAGTGTCCCGAGTGCTGTGATGTCGATTCTTAATTCAACATTCAACAGTCATCTACAATGTTTTGTTTTTAAATAGCAGATGACATGTTGCCAGTAAAGAGAAGCAGGGGTAAACCAGTAGTAGGAAAAGTGTATGACACAAGGTACACCTTGGGCAGGAACGTGCATTAGGAGACGGCTAGAGCCTGAGTTTGTTTTAGGCAGACTATTATGAGAGAGACGCTCTGCAAAGGAATGACTATATAATGAGTCAAATGATTACTGAATCCACCATCCATGTGATTTCTTCTTTATGAATGTATTATTTAAGTATTTTCAACAGGCGAACCCAGTAATGGTGTCTGCATCATTTTCCTTTGGCAAAACGGGAATCTTGTTCAACTCGTCCTTGAACTTTGTCCTCTACTGTCTGACCGGAAGGAGATTCCGGACTGAGCTGCTAAAGATGCTTGGTCTGGTCAGTAAGGACCTGATGATGTCCAGCATTGTGGACACCCCGACCAGCAATACCTCCTCAACGTCTATGGCGGCATCTGTCACAAGAACCTTAACCAAAGACACGTGAGAACACACACAAGAATGCTAATGGTATGTGCTTGCATAAGGCAAGACTAACAGAAGACTAACAGCAGGAGGGCGCGTGGAATAGGAGAATATTATTAACAACAGACACAAGTGAACATTAAATGGACAGCAGAGACACACTTCTTTAAGATGGCACCGTTGAATCGCCGGTAAAGGAGTATATTACGATGTGTGACATAAGGGACAGCACAAAACAAGCAACAATAAAGATATAATTAAGAAAATATTCCTAATTCACAACGACACACTTGGTTTATTCAAACTGAGCATGTCCCTACGTTTTCCAATGACTGAGACAAGAAACAATCTAGAGTCATGTCTATTTTAAGATGGCACCGTTTGTTCGCAGCTATGCTGGAGTGTATACCCTTGTTTGGCTAAGGTTTTTCGAAGTTTTGAACAACGGATCAACCTCATGGCACACAGATATAACCCATAAGTGCTCCGTTTTTCTTCTAACTAGTCTGAGTCCGAAGACGCTCAGTCCAGTCTACAGGCTCTGTAGCACCAGCGAGGATCCTGAAATACTTTAGGTAAAATTTTAACTCCAAATTTTGCCAGGACAGTGACGTTAAACTACAATTTTCGATTTCAAACTGCCAATGGATATTTTTACGTGCGCAGCAATGCACACGGGCGTCCGATCTCACTACCCAGAGACCAGGAGAAATTACTAGAAGTCCAAGTCTACGTAAAAAAAAATCCCAGCCTTCACCGGGGATTGAACCCGTTGGCTAAAAAGACAACACAAAAAAGCGACAGCTAGAACATACTAGAGACACTTTTTTTTTAAAAGATGTGGCAGCCGATTCGACGGTATGATTGAGTGTATTAACTCATTCTTTACCAAGCAGCTTTCCGTGAGTTTATTCGTTCTACGAGTACTTACATCATATACTTTTCCTAATAATTTCTTCCCCATCAAATTGTTACATAAAGCAGGCTTGTCCCAAATGTTGCTTTAAATCACTTTTCTTCGTGCCATTATTATTTGAAATCAATCATGCCCAAATATTGGTATTTTAAAATTGTATCCATTAGAACACAACCCATCCAGGAGACAAACATGAAGACCCCATTAACTTTTCCACACTAAAGAATGCCTTATATTTAGTTATAGGAGGCAAGCAGGCATCATTGGCGACCGGGTCACCTATTGGCTGGCCGGTAGACGACTTCGTCGACTGTCGGAACTGTATTTAGGTCTGTGTCCTTTGATCGCATCAAACAATGCAAGAGTCCTTTTCAGGGCTACATGGCGGGCAATGCTAATCCATTTTATATGACACAAATAACCCAGTCACAATTGTAACCAAAAGCTCCCTTTTCGGGGATGCTAGCTGAATTTATTAGACAAGTTTATTATTTACAAGACAAGGTAAGCATGCATGCCACCACGGCTCCCAGCTGAAGACAATAAGTAGTCGTTCTGTTTTGTGTGACAGTTGATTGGGCAAGAGCCGAAAGTTGCAACTATTACTTTCTGTGACTGAGTAAAAAGCATTGAATGACATCACACTGTTTTTTGCTTTTGACATTTTTATGTTGTCTTGACTGTTTGTCTTTCAGTTGGCTGGATGTATGTCTCATTGCTGAATTGATTGTGTAGTCGACAGGTTAATTGTCTGGCTTGCGTGTTAAGTTGGTTGGCTGCCAAGACAGTTGATCAGCTGACTGTCTCTGTCAAAACAATAAGTGAAAATAAAATTAAATGTTTCGTGTATTCTAGACAAAGCATTACGGTCTTCTCTGTTCGTAAATTCTTGCTGTGTTAATTTTTCGACCTATGCTTGGTTAATATACATTTCTCTAGCCTATGGTGCCATTTCAGTAGTTTAGTCTTAGTCTTGATCGAGGTTTCATCATCACCACCATCATGTCACCCCATACTTTCTCCGTTCCTGTGCCAGTGATAATCAATTGAAATGTCCCTCACTGTCGCAATTGAAATGTCCCTCACTGTTGCATTTGAAAAACTGATAAACAATCAATTAGTCCCGTAACAATCCAGAAATATGCGCACGCAGCAAATGCGTATTTCAGTTGCCAGAGGTGCCAAAGCCAACAATCGCCACCAGAAATGCAGTTTGTCGTTGATGGAAGTAGTCGGGCCCGATAAGTTGGTTACTGTACACACACGTATAATTATTACATAAGGTATTTCACCAGCTCACACGTAAACCGGCTACCTGCCATATTGTACACAACGACCTAACTGCTGCGCAAATGAAAGGCATTCCACAGGAAAAACACAGCTCACATGGCTGCACTAAGCTCAGGCAGCGAAACCGTAGACTACAGTCCTTATTTGGAGACTGCATTAGCAAAGCGCTATCAGAAGCAACAATAACCTCAAAGCTCACCATTCTGCCAAGCTTTTCCTCCATTTTGGGAAAAAGTATATTGCAGTGGTTTGAGATGAATAATGCCCATATTTCAAAGGTTGTGGATGTCAAGCTGTACGCTAGACACGGCCAACGAAGACAGCTAGGGATGACTAGCTGGTCATGTTCTTAGTGCACTTGTTTTTAAAGTGAAGCGCACGCGACATTTAAAGGTGACAGGTTCGATTGCCGGCATGGTGACTATAGCTTTCGATTGTTATTTTGCCTAGTGTATCCTTCTATCTTGTTACTTCTTTCTAAAAGTACCTATCAAAACATTGCCCGTTTGTTTATATATACAGACAGACAGACAGACAGACAGACAGACAGACAGACAGACAGACAGACAGACAGACAGACAGACAGACAGACAGACAGACAGACAGACAGACAGACAGACAGACAGACAGACAGACAGACAGACAGACAGACAGACAGACAGACAGACAGACAGACAGACAGACAGACAGACAGACAGACAGACAGACAGACAGACAGACAGACAGACAGACAGACAGACAGACAGACAGACAGACAGACAGACAGACAGACAGACAGACAGACAGACAGACAGACAGACAGACAGACAGACAGACAGACAGACAGACAGACAGACAGACAGACAGACAGATAGATAGATAGATAGATAGATAGATAGATAGATAGATAGATAGATAGATAGATAGATAGATAGATAGATAGATAGATAGATAGATAGATAGATAGAAAGATAGATAGATAGATAGATAGATAGATAGATAGATAGATAGATAGATAGATAGATAGATAGATAGATAGATAGATAGATAGATAGATAGATAGATAGATAGATAGATAGATAGATAGATAGATAGATAGATAGATAGATAGATAGATAGATAGATAGATAGATAGATAGATAGATAGATAGATAGATAGATAGATAGATAGATAGATAGATAGATAGATAGATAGATAGATCGATAGATCGATAGATAGATAGATCGATCGATCGATAGATCGATCGATAGATCGATCGATCGATAGATAGATAGATAGATAGATAGATAGATAGATAGATAGATAGATAGATAGATAGATAGATAGATAGATAGATAGATAGATAGATAGATAGATAGATAGATAGATAGATAGATAGATAGATAGATAGATAGATAGATAGATAGATAGATAGATAGATAGATAGATAGATAGATAGATAGATAGATAGATAGATAGATAGATCGATCGATCGATCGATCGATCGATCGATCGATCGATCGATCGATCGATCGATCGATCGATCGATCGATGGATGGATGGATGGATGGATGGATGGATGGATGGATGGATGGATGGATGGATGGATGGATGGATGGATGGATGGATGGATGGATGGATGGATGGATGGATGGATGGATGGATGGATGGATGGATGGATGGATGGATGGATGGATGGATGGATGGATGGATAGATAGATAGATAGATAGATAGATAGATAGATAGATAGATAGATAGATAGATAGATAGATAGATAGATAGATAGATAGATAGATAGATAGATAGATAGATAGATAGATAGATAGATAGATAGATAGATTTCTACGGCTTCAAAGGATCTCTCTATTTTCTCTAAGGAGGAGAGCGTTGTGGTTGATTATGAGAACTTAGCCCTCATAGGAATTATAGATTGGAAAGGGAAATAAAAATGAGGGGGGGGGGTGCTTAAGGTGCACGAGGAGCTACTTTACAAATAAGGGTTCTCTAGCAGTAATTAAGTGCTGATGAAGGCTGTTTAGCCGCAACGTTTACTTGTGTTTACGATATTGTGAGGCTGGTTGGTTCTACTTTTCAGTTTGTTTTATACATTTTCGTCGGTATCTATGGCTTAGGCAATGCCGGGTTCGATCCCAGCTGCAGACAATTTGGCAGCAGACCGCCTTGTGTTTATTTCGACAGTGGCACCCAGAACCAGCCGCGTAGTAGCAGTGGCAAACCACTGACCGTAAATTTGCCTTGAACAAAAATCACAACAGCCAAAAATGCTAGGGTTGATTCTGCAATGTTTATTACGGGAAAGCAATTAACTTTATATGTTCTCGAGGTTAAAAAAAAAGAAACAGATAAGTTTAAGTGCGTGAAAAGGACTGTCTATTTAAAAACCCGGCGATCTGCGGATTCTCACAGCTAGATGTAATTAAATGTCACGTCTTTCTGGCATGTCAGATTACTTTGACACCGTGTTCTCTAGGTCATTGTGATAATTTCTCTTGATACTGACACGAAGATAATTTGAATGATTTTGACAACTGGCAGTCTTTACGCTGACAGTGTAACGGTGAGAGAAGAGGATTGTCTTGACATGGTGTCAATCTCGGGTGATTGGTCTTATTGAAATGTGGTTTCTAAAAGTACATCATATCCATGACAGTTCGACTTCTCCTCCATCCTGTTCTGTTCCTCCTCGTAGTCCTTTAATTTTTTTTTAAAATTTTTGTTTCTTTATCATCATCATTATCGTCATCTTTTTCATCATCATCATCTTCATGATCATCTTCTTCTTCTTCGCCCCCTCGTCTTTCTTCTACTACTTCTTCTTCTTTTTCTTCTTCCTCT